GTCTGATTTATATAATTATTCAATCTGCCCAGTAAAATACCAGAAATATTCACCATATAGTTTGTCTCTGGTTTCAGTTTTAATCCTTGTAATTTAACACCATCATAGTTAATACCAGTTTCATCCATCTCTTTCTCTAGTTTATAATCATCAGTAGATAGTCCGACCTATAAAACAATAAAATAATCATCTATCTCTTTCTCTAGTTTATAATCATCAGTAGATAGTCCAACCTATAAAACAATACAATAATCAGCTATCTCTTTCTCTAGTTGATAATCATCAGTAGATAGTCCAACCTATAAAACAGTACAATAATCATCTATCTCTTTCTCTAGTTTATAATCATCAGTAGATAGTCCAACCTATAAAACAGTACAATAATCATCTATATCTTTCTCTAGTTTATAATCATCAGTAGATAGTCCAACCTATAAAACAATAAACATCTATCTCTTTCTCTAGTTGATAATCATCAGTAGATAGTCCAACCTATAAAACAATAAACATCTATCTCTTTCTCTAGTTTATAATCATCAGTGGATAGCATATTATGTCCGATGGGGGTATCCGGCTCTGACTAATTTACTCTAACTTACCATAACTGATGTAGACTGATAGCTGTTAGAATCAAACTGCCAGCGAATACCAAGTGAATGATGTAGTGAAAGACAATATTATGATAGTTGATATTGGGTTGTGGTCTGTGGTAAAAGGGTTATCTGTCCACTATTAGGAATAAGTTTATCAGCAATGAGTTGAACACCATCAGTTGAAACTGTTATTTGTAGACCAATTTTTATTATAACATCTAATAGTAGAATAAACTTTTATAGGTTCTCTCTCAGTATATTCTTTACTAGCTTTATTCTCATCTTTCTGTATTCTTGTAAACTTCTGTATATCATTTCCTCCTCTCACAGACCCTAAAATAGTTCCAAATTTCAAAACTATTTTTTAATCAAAAGTTAACACTATTTTTGGACAGAACACGAACTTAAGATATCCCCGATTAACTGGAAATATATATTTTTTTATGATGTACTGAACGAAAAAAATTCGAGGCAACACTTCTGCTGTAAATATAGAGGTTGGTGGTTGAAGAGCAACGGATGGTGTAATTGTTGCGGCTGCTATCTTATCGCCGTCCGTATGAAAATGTGAAAAAATATCCTTATTTAGACCTTAGTACAAATTAAAAACAAAAAATAGTGCACAACATTTTTTCCTTCACAAAGATCGAGCAATCATAATTCAGATGATATAATTTTATATATACAATTCACTTCATACTTGAGATGCTTTGCTTACCTATAGCCCAGAGACAATAGTCAAGGCCAGATTCTGGATCTTCAATTTGCCAATTAACAGCTATACCATTACTGGTCTGGTAATCAACATCCCGATCTAAATAACAGATAATATGGTTCTTACTTGTCCCGCCATATATATAACAACAGGGGGCGTAGTGTCTACTACAATATAATCAGTATAACGTCACGCACCTGTACCGTCATGTAGATAAATCACAACAAGGTGTAGTGTCTGCTATAATAAAAACAGTATAAAGTAACGTACGTGTACCGTCATGTATATAAATAACAACAGGAGGTGTGGTTTCCACTATAATATAATCAGTATAACGTCACGTACCTATACAGTTATATATATAAATAACCGTCATATATATAGATAACAACAGGAGGTGTAGTGTCAATTATAATATTATAATCAGTATAACGTCACGTACCTGTACCGTCATGTATATAAATAACAACAATAGGTCTAGTGTCTGCTATAATATAATCAGTATAACGTCACGTACCTGTACTGTATTATATGTAAAAAAGAAGGTTTATTGTCTAATATACATGTAATATAATCAGTAAAACGTCAAGTACCTGTAACGTCATCGATCATGTACATAAATAACAACAGGAGGTGTAATGTCTAATATACATGTAATATAATCAGTATTTACGTCAAGTACCTGTACCGTCATGTAGATAAATAACAGGTGTAGTGCCTTCTATAATATAATCAGTATAACGTCACGTACCTGTACCGTCGTGTATATGAATAACAACAGGAGGCGTAGTATCCACCAACATATAGTTGCTATGTGATAGAGAGGTTAGATCAGCACCATTTCGCGCTTTAACAGTGAAATATAGCCGAGAGTTGTGAACCAAGGGTAGATTATAAACAGTCACGTGATTTCTATCACCAGTGGTTGTAAATTCTCTGATCTGAGTTCCACCTTTCACTGTACCTGAATATAGATTAAATATAAAGTATTTGTTGTTCAATTATTTTACTTAAACATTGATACTACTTCTTGACATTAATGAGTTTTCTGAACAAATATAAGTGGTATGAATCATTAAACTGCGTATTATGTTAACTCTTATCCATATAATATTATGATTATTAATGTGCCATCTAATAATGCTTTTGTCCAACGGACGATCTGGTGTTGTCATGAGAACTTATATTTTCATATTTTGTTAGCATTTGCCACTATTATATTTGTCAGAAAGTCGATGGTCTTGGAAAATTAAGTCATGATATATACCTAATGTACGAATGATGAAAATGTGACTTAAAATGACTTACCTAGAGCCCACTGATACTCCACTATAGAACTTTCGCTATCTTTAAAATACCAGTTAAAATGTAAGGAAGACCAGTGAGGTGTAAAAGTAGGGTGATATACTATATGATTATTGTTGGTATCTTTCAATGATATATGATTTATTTTTCTAAGTTCTAGATCATCTATAGCCAATATCATATTATTTCTTGTTGTACCAATTACTAATTTCTCTCGTGTATTTATTGGTTGATAAATATAGGTGAATTTATACCAATGAATCACATTGACAAGTTGAGAACTATCACCCTGACAGAGATCTGGATTCAGTTTAAAACTGTTTATTTCATGTCCTAATCTAATAAAACCTTCTACCATATGATTTGATAGTAAGATATCATGTGGGTAACCAACATGTACAGTAAGCTGATAAGAACAATCTGTATCTAGATTTTGAATGGTTTGTTGAATCTGATCTGTTATTGTGATATAAACTTCACCATCATGAGCTGTTGAATGTTGAGATGATCGAGTTTTAACACACGATTGTGAATCTGTAGACCAATGTTCTGGGATGTTAGAATTACAAGAAGTTGTTGTGTCATCAGATATTGATTCAAATGAGGGATTAAGGATGAGATTCTCTCCAATAAATTCCAGGTAACTTGCTTCAGGTGGTGAAGTATCAATAATAATCCCATTAGAGACAGCAACTTGTGATTGTAAACCACTACCATCTACAGCATACACTTTATGAAAGATCTTAGCTCCGAAATAATAATGAGAAAATAAAAAAAACAGACTTTGTAACCCAAACAAAACGTTCTCGTTTTATGAACAGAATTGTTTGTATTCATTTACCTGATTTCAGTGTAACAGGCGATTGATCGGTGGTTTTTATTTCCAAACCAACATTAGTCCATGGTAGTATATCACAAGTAGTGGTGTCATTCAGTCTACCAACACACCAGTTATAATTCACAATCCCTGATCCTATATCAGAGAAACCATACCACGAAGCAGAAATCAAGCTGTCAGATGACTGGAATTCAGAGTCGTGTGGGCCTGGAACAAAACAAAAAAATTGTAAAATATAAAAAATATTGCATCATGCTTTTAGTTATACAATAGAAATATTCAATGGCGAGTATCATTTAATGCATAAATAAACCAAGTACTAACGATCCGAGCCGCAAAACGAAACCAGAAATCCAGCACAACATTTTGTCAAAACACTGATAACAGCTAATTAACATTTTACATGATCAATGAGTAAGTATTTTATAATAAAAACGTGGTATAAAAGAGTGAGCATACCCTGCCTGGTGCAGGAGATATACTTTAATGCCATAAACGCACTTATACCTAATCCATCATGTATGATACCAGTTGAAGGTGGTGTAGAATCAATTATGATGCCATCACTGGTGCTCCAGCTACAAAACCCAGCTTTGTTAAAGGCTAAAACTGTGCTGTAATATATCTTATTTTCTTGTAACTTTAATTCAGATATACTGAATGATTTCTGCTGTGGCAATACTTTTGTGTCAGTCCTATGGATATTGTGACCTGAAATAGCATATAAACTTTTTGACTCTAGCAGCATAAGTTGTTTCTCAAGTCGATCTGTTATTTATTTCTACATTGTCTAAAAGTTTGAAAGAATGAATGAAAATTAATCTAATTTAACAATACAAGGAACGTGTTGTACATAAATGTAAAAGAAGAAGTTGTATACCTTGTGGATGTGTACTGATATAAACCTGGTAATAATCTATACCATGAATTCCACCATTAAATTTATCTTTCCAACCAACTATTATTGTATTGTTGTTTATTTGGTAGTCAATATCTTTATTACTTGTTGTCTGTTCTAATTCTTTAACCTTTGGTAAAACAAAACAAACCATAGTGTTAACAAGTACTCCTCCTGTTCTGGGATATAATAAAAATTTAAAAAATAAAAAAATATTTGATTACCGTTTCAAAAGTTTATCTTCGGTTTTTTTCTAGGGCTTTTTGTCATGATTTTACAAAATATAAAATAGATTGACATTTCAGAATTTTAAATAAATTTTATATGCATAACAAAATTAACATAATTATATTCACAGCTATGTGAGCACAGTGGAATGTATTTTACATGACAAATTGACATCCTGTGTACTTACGGCTACTCCCCTTATGTAAATCAGAGTTGAAGGTTTAGAGATCACAGTGATACCAGGTGATTTATAAATATAATATCTTTTATCATCATACCACGCTCTTACAAATACTGAATAGACCAGGTTATCATGTTAGGGTATTATCTGAAACAAATATTGTTTGACTAGATTATAATGTAGACTTAATCCCACAACAAGAAATAAAGATCTATTTTAGACTAACATCGTGTCTGTTACTAAGACCTACATAATACACTACAGTCAAGAATATTACGTATAATATTAATATAATATAATCATAAATACGTGAAAATTACGAAATGGTCGTATGGGTTTTCAAGTATTATTCTGTATTAATATGATCATACTTTGGTGAAGCATGCCATAGTGTCAATTATCATAGCAACATGTTTCTACAAACCTTTGGTTAGTGTAATAATTGTACTCATATCTTGACCAACATCAAACCAATGTCGTTCGGCAGATGAATCAAACACGCCACTGGGCTGGTCTTCGTCAGACAGACCAATACTAACTTCGTACCTGAAAAACGCAAAGCTCTATACTTTTAAACAGTCTGAAAACTCAGCCATGTCCTAGTGTATTCGCTTTCATTGTAATGTAGTTTGTACAGCCACTTAACCTGAGAAGTCATACTACTTGGAAAAATTTTTGTAATGAAAAATATAGTGTTTGATATTTTATCGTCTGCAAAACAGTGCGTGCGTCATCATCTAATCAGATTAATTGCATGATCTGCACCCGATTATCGACATAGTGGAAAACGATCGACTACAGATTTTTTGTCTCCTCGTTTGCCCGAAGATCGTCTGTATGCCCGTATAATAACATAATAACATAGTAGCAATATACCTAATGGGTTGAGATGCTGTATTGGTTAAAAGTCTCCATTCAGCAGATAGAAACATATTAGTTGGTGTATAATTAGTTTGAACTTTATCAGTTGATTGTAGATTAGTTACATCTATAACTTGAATGAAATCTATGTCACTGTCTACAAAACAAAAATATATATAAGGATATATGCGACAATCACATATATGTGAAAGGGTGTAAGTAAATAATGATACTATAGGTTCGATAAAGTCTCGATTAAACTGGATGCTTTTACTCCTTCAATCTTGAATATTTTATGTTATGCTCATAACATATTTTAAATATATATATATATTTTTATATTTGACAAAATGCATTTCTCGAGCATCGACTACACTGTCAAAATGTACTGTATGGCTAAGCTGAAATATTGTTACACGAAAGAATAATATATATTATAAAGATATTTTTTTGTGTTACCATTTGTTATACAACCATTACCATCTGGTTTAGGACATATTTTATCTTGTTCACTACAAACACAATGACCTTCACATTTATATGGTCGGCATCTTCTCACCAATGATCCATGATCGTTTGTTCTGAGGTCAGCATGTATCAATTGAAATTCATTGTGAATTGGTTGACTCTTTAATCCTACCAGTAGAAAATACATGTGAGATGCAATACAATCCTAACCTATTAACGTTTAACTTAAAATAAAACCTTGGACGACTTTTAATGAGTTATTCAACTCTTATCTTCAATCGTAATTTAACGTTACCATTTTTAAGAAACGCGTATAAGGCAGTCAATAACGTAACGTTTCTTTAACGTCTTACGTTATTTTACGTATTCCACAAGACGCTATTTTACAGAAGAATATTCACGTATTTCTTTACTTAACATGAAAGATTAATGGTACGAATTTTTGAGAAACAAACCAGGTCCTAGAACGCGTAAGCAAGTAAAATAAAATATAAATATTTTTGTTCTTACCCCATTAGTAGCTACAATAGATATAAAAACAGACATTCCATGGACGAGATTTCCTGATGTTTCAACTGTTTTAGTCTGTACTTCTCCTTCATTTTCCAATAATCTACCATCCTCATGCAAGTATTTCACAGTTTTACCATCCTATCGTATACAATACCAATCATGACATACATCGTCAAAAAGAGGATAAAAAGTACATTATGATTATGAAATCGGGATGAAAACAAAAAGACTCACACACCTTATTTAAATCAGTATAAAATGGTTTGGTACCAACAGATAAAAGATAATACTGTACACCACTATGAAGATCTGCAAATCCCAGCCAAGCTATAGTCAATGATGTTGTGTTCCATTCGATCCATCTACCGGGATGTCTGATTAATATTGGCAGCATGGTTCGATTCTATTGCGAAGGTTCCTGAAATCCAATGGAAAACGTTTTCTACTGTGAGATTCTCTATACCCATTACATTCATGAAAGATTTGTTTCATATTTTATATTCTCTTAATACTCGCATTCCTTTAAAATGTGAATATTGTTTGACTTACCTCTAGTCGGAGGTGTTGTATCAACTAAAATATCATCCGATACAGAAGATATACATAATCCCGCTAAATTACAGCCAATAACCTTCACATTGTATTTACTACCATCATGTAGAGATAAACCACTAAATACATACTCTTTTAGAACACTTGGTATCTATAATAAATACATACTCTTTTAGACCACTTGGTATCTATAATAAATACACACTCTTTTAGACCACTTGGTATCTATAATAAATACATACTTTTAGACCACTTGGTATCTATAATAAATACATACTCTTTTAGAACACTTGGTATCTATAATAAATACATACTCTTTTAGAACACTTGGTATCTATAATAAATACACACACTTTTAGACCACTTGGTATCTATAATAAATATATACTCTTTTAGAACACTTGGTATCTATAATAAATACACACTCTTTTAGACCACTTGGTATCTATAATAAATACATACTCTTTTAGAACACTTGGTATCTATAATAAATACATACTCTTTTAGACCACTTGGTATCTATAATAAATACATACTCTTTTAGACCACTTGGTATCTATAATAAATACATACTCTTTTAGACCACTTGGTATCTATAATAAATACACACTCTTTTAGACCACTTGGTATCTATAATAAATATATACTATTTTAGAACACTTGGTATCTATAATAAATACATACTCTTTTAGACCACTTGGTATCTATAATAAATACATACTCTTTTAGACCACTTGGTATCTATAATAAATACATACTCTTTTAGACCACTTGGTACCTCTAATAAATATATACTCTTTTAGAACACTTGGTATCTATAATAAATACATACTCTTTTAGAACACTTGGTATCTAAATAAATACACACTCTTTTAGAACACTTTGTATCTATAATAAATACATACTCTTTTAGAACACTTGGAATCTATAATAAATATATACTAATTTATGACACTTGGTATCTTTAATAAATACATACTCTTTTAAACCACTTGGTATCTATAATAAATACATACTCTTTTAGACCACTTGGTATCTATAATAAATACATACTCTTTTAGAACACTTGGTATCTATAATAAATACATACTCTTTTAGACCACTTGGTATCTATAATAAATACACACTCTTTTAGACCACTTGGTATCTATAATAAATACATACTCTTTTAGAACACTTGGTATCTATAATAAATACATACTCTTTTAGACCACTTGGTATCTATAATAAATATATACTCTTTGAGACCACTTGGTGTCTATAATAAATACATACTCTTTTAGAACACTTGGTATCTATAATAAATACATACTCTGTTAGAACACTTGGTGTCTATAATAAATACACACTCTTTTAGAACACTTGGTATCTATAATAAATACATACTCTTTTAGAACACTTGGTATCTATAATTAATACATACTCTTTTAGAACACTTGGTATCTATAATAAATACACACTCTTTTAGAACACTTGGTATCTATAATAAATACATACTCTTTTAGACCACTTGGTATCTATAATAAATACATACTCTTTTAGACCACTTGGTATCTATAATAAATACACACTCTTTTAGAACACTTGGTATCTATAATAAATACATACTATTTTAGAACACTTGGTATCTATAATAAATACATACTCTTTTAGAACACTTGGTATCTATAATAAATACACACTCTTTTAGACCACTTGGTATCTACAATAAATACATACTCTTTTGGAACACTTGGTATCTATAATAAATACATACTCTGTTAGAACATTTGACATCTAAACCAATAACAAATATCTAAATAGTTCTAATAGGGCTTATTGTTTATTTCCTGGGGCTCTTGAATTATAATTTATTAAAATATATCGGTACCTCTGTTGTTGAAGAATTGAAATCACCAAGTAAATGTGGTGAAAGTGAAATATACTGATGTTCAATATCTGATTGTACATCAGTAAATTCCCATTTTACTTTAAATCCTGTTCTACATATTATTGTTGACGGTAAAATGGAAGCGAATGTTGATGATAGAGTGGTTTGTTTGGCGACAGTTGGCGGTGTAGTATCTATTATAAATCCATCAGATGTTGATTGGCTGCTTAAACCTAAAATTGAAAATTTTTCACTCCGAAAGGCTTCATTCTATATGTTGCATACCGCCTTGAGATAGAATAAATTGTGCGTTTTCTTTAAGTGAAAACACAAACGATTTACCTGCTTTATTATAAGCTGTGACAGTGATATAGATAGGTATACCAACAGGTAAATGTTGTAGTAGAGGAAGATTAGATCGGTAGATTATTTCTATAACAGGTAAAGTTTCTGGTTTCAATATTTCACTACCACCTTTACTAGTACCAACTCTCCATTCATATTTCTCTATAGAACTTTCACTATCTTTAAACCCATACCATTTACCACCAATATATGTTCTTAGATATAAAAATATAAAAACTCAATTATCATGAATAAATTTAAATATATATATACATAATAAACGCCATGTCAATTTGTAATTTCCGAAAGGGATGACTAGATTGGTACAGATATATTATTTTGAAAAGAATTTCATCACAAATATCTATATAGATCCATACTAATAATTTGCTAACATAAAGACCAACCTTGAAGCCTGGAAGTCAATATCAGCATCTCTAGTTCCATCTATCACGTGACCTCTCATTGGAGGTGTGACGTCAATCATAAAACCATCAGTAGATATGATGAACAAAGTTCTGCCATATTACATCCAGTTACCATGGTAAAATATTTAGTACAAGGAATAAATCTGATGTTAATGAAAGTAAAATCTAAAATGTAAAAATTATATTAATGATTAACATTTAAGGTTCACCAGTGTATTATTTTGACTAATCTACGACATTGTGTGAGTTTGAGTTTCTAAGATCGAAAACAACCATCAATGTATTATTTTGACTAATCTAAGTCATTGTTCCGTGACTAATCATTGTTTGTTATTGTTTGTCTATAATAATTCTGTCTTCCCAAAATGGACTGTTACTTCTCTCGAATTCAACCATTACATATACTGTAGAAACTTACTGTGAGAGTTACCCGTTTCTGTTTGTGGTAAAATATCATCACATCCAGGACAAGTTCCTATTTGAACAGAATAATGTTTAATAGACGAATGGGGATCATGGGATCTTTCCCATCTAACAGAAGGTGGTACAGTATTAGAGATATAATCAGTATTCGCTATGTTGTTATCACCAGAAATACCATCGAATACTAATCCTGTTATTGGTGGTGTTGTATCCACTGTTAGTGGTCGTGATATTAACATGGTAGACATCCCAACTCCATTCATGGCCTGAAAATAATTCCGAGTTTCTTATTAGTTACATGTTTTTTTTTAAATTTATTTGGTAAATAGAGACTTAAGTTTAATTTGATTTTTTACCAGATAGATTTTGCCTTATCTAGAAAGAGTGAGGAAGAGATTTTACCTGGACGTTAATATAATAAGTAAAGCCATCCTGTAAGTTAACATTCAGTGTAGCTACATCACAATTTTCAACTGTTTCTCTTGTTTTTAATACGTCTGTTTGACCTTCTCTACTACCTACTGACCATTTATATAATTTAATACCACTTTCACTGTCTTTAAAACTTCCCATCCAACTATGAATGAATTAAATATAGTTTTATACACACGTTGTACCAATTTACTTTCTCTATCTGTGGTTGTGTGACGACATTTAGCCAAGTGTGATTGGAAAATATTAGCAGATGCTAGCGCATACTTACTCTTTCATAAAATAATTTTACATTAATTATAATATTTACCAAGCTGATATTGTATCTAAAGATATGAGATATGGTGAAGATGTCTGTATTCTGTTTAGAAGTATTTCTGGAGCTGTATGATCAATAATTATTCCATCACTGACTACTGTTTTATTTCTATTCACAAAATCAACAGCTACAATACATTAACAAAAGAATTGGATGAATTGTGACACCTCATAGCAGTGTTTGGATCAAATGTGAGATAATAAACTAACGATAAATGCTATAATGCAACAATTCAAAAAAGATTTCATAACACTTTCTTGTTCTAATATATAAATATCACCTTTGACATCTTTTGCGGTACTATGAGTACATCGATTCATACCTGTGACTGTAGCGAAGTACTGGTGACCATTCTGTAGAGTTAAGTTATGGAAAACCTGGTGATTTATTAATCCAACAGTAACAGGTGATAGCACATCAGACAAATACCTCAATGAGCCTACATCAGAATAAATAATTTAAATACCCATTACTGATTGATATATCGTAAACTAAACTGTGCATTCTTGCTCAGATTAATCGTTTTGAATTAAAACATAAGTACAATCAAAAATGAAGAAAGAGAAAATGACACTCAGATGTATTCTGGTGCTTCGTACCTATTTGTACAGTATAATGTGAAATTCCACTAGGATGTACAGCTCCTCCTTCTTCTTCTACATCAATAAATGAATCCCAAAATACAGTCAAAGTATTACTAGACACCTAAATGAAATAAAATAGAATTTGAACGTCAATACAATATTTTGTTGCTCTACTGTGAATCAGTATGCACACCAAATCAATAAAGTAATTAAGTATAAAAATAAGCAATTGTTCGATATTTTTCTTTTTCTTTAGTAAATATATTTGTATGATATCTGGATCTTATGTTTGGGTATTGGCAGTAAATTAATACCTAAATGAAATTTCAATGTGATATTTCGTTGTTATACAAATAATCAGAATACATAAGACGCACCATGTACTCGATTATAGCAAAGATTTGTAATGATTTTAGAGATAATTTCGAATCATTACAGAAATATTAGAAAGACGATAATCAATTGTGTGATACTTTTTATCCCTTTGAGCTATTAAGAAAAATTGAAATTTCTAGATCTTAAGTTTGGGTATTGGCAGTTAATTAACTTCAATTTCAACATTCAAATCTAATTGTGCCATACAAAATTAACAGAATTATCTCATTCGTTTATGTTTTTTTGGCAAGAAACAAACATGATCCATTGATGTTAACTGTGGCAATTGGCAGGTAATTCTCGATTACGTAATTCTTATCCAGGGTAGCATATTAAATGAAGAAAAAGTGCTGATCTAAACCATATAATGTATTAAAATTACAATTTAAAAATTGTATGGGTTGAATAATCTTATTTAAATACAGAAACAAACTTTTGAAAAAAAAATGAATTAAAAAAATGAATAATTATAATGAATTCAGACTTGAATTACTCTACCTGATAGTTAGTATTAGTGTCTGTTTGTATCCAGACTCGACCTCCACTAGGGGGAGATAAATCAACTGTTATACCATCACTACAACTATTAATTTCTTCTAGATCTTCATCCCATTTCTCATGTTGTAGTGTTGTAGAATCAGCATGGAGACAAACACGATATCGTCTACCATGTTTTAATAGTTGTGGTGGTTTTATATTAATATATTCTTTATCTAGTACAACAATTTTTGTTATTTTTGTTGGTCAAATATATTACATTTTGAACAAATATTTCCAGGTTTACGTAAGGGTCTATTATCATATGAACTATTCCCATGGTGTAGACGGGAATTTTGCATCCCTTTCATAGAGTTCATAGCTTTATTATTCAGTTTTAGTACAATTGAAATCTTATAGACGTGACCTTTTGATCATGAATGATAGTAGAATAGATACTTTAAGTTTCAACACATATGCGCAAATTTACCTGAATGTCCACATATGATAGTAGAAGGATGAGAACAAGGATCTGGTATAATGATATCAGGATTACTGTATAAAGTTGACGTGGATTTTAATGGACCCTCTAATAATCCCCATGTGTAGTTTCTATGTCTTAATGTCGGCCATACAGCAGATATTATATCATTATAGGGAGTATAGTCCACATCCGGCTCATTCCACCTGGCAATCTGTTCCAGATCGATTCCAGTTCTGTTTTCTGAAAATATAGGATCATATGGCAGCGGTATTGATATCAGTTATTACCTTATTATTCACACTATTTATATTCTCGACTGAAGATAATGGTGATGATAATTATTTACCTTGTCTAACAGCATCCAGAACTATAGCTAGTCGTATTAGGATTGGGTCGAGGTTGACAATCCTGCCTTATTAAAAAGTCGTAGAGCTAGTTTTCTACATTTATTTGAGTTTATTTTACCATCTAATAGTATGTTCAACTGAATCTAGAAATATAATTTAAAAATCAGTTCATGTTTTTATATTAATTGATTATCATCTTGAAATGAATCTAGAAATGCAATACCAGTTCACAGAGGAAAGTTAACTGTGATACACAATGTAAGGTGTATACCAGACCGGACTGACTGCGATGTCAATATATAAAGTCTGTGTTATAAGACAAAAAACAAATTATTAAGACAAGGAACTATTTTGTTACAGATACCCACTGTAAGGTGTGTAACAGAATATAGACTGGCTGTGATTTCAAAATGACAGGGCCGGTGTTTAAACAGGAACCATTCTTATTGTACGGATTCCCTCGTAATACATCGGAAAAAGTGACCAACACCCGCTATAAGCTGTATAAAAATTCGAATGGACTTTGAAGCCCATTGTAAAGTGAATTAAGTACAGGAACGACTGTGATGCCAATATAAAACAGAATTGATATACACATTTTGTTTTGCAATTTTAGAAGGTTTACCATATTTGTATAAACATTGATTAACAGAGGAAGTGCTTCACACCGGAACAGCTGAAAATGGTATGTCCAAGTTATCCAATTGCATTATTTCAAAAACAACTGAATAGATTATTGAGAGTATGAGAATGGAAGAAGAAGAGGTGTTTCCAACCCTAATGTGATAAATGTGTCTTTGGATGTTCCATATAAATTTCTCTCCATAGGACACAGTAAATACAACTTAGACAAGGATCATCCCAATTTATTGACATTGGGAGATAAACACGGATAAGAAATATTGCTATGTTCAAAAATATCTTGAGTTTGACTGGAGATTGTCTAAAAGGCGTAAGCAATAATCAATTGCCCTGGACACAAGACATACAACTTTATCTGAATCAATTTGGATATACTTTTCTACCAGTAATATTGGACATTGTCCTTTGTTGGCTCCCCAGTCACATGGATATACGGGGGAATGACATGGAAGATGCGGCGGCTAAGGCTGCTTTGTCACTGCCTGTTTCCCCCTTTACTTTGCCTTTCACCAATTTTAAATCGGTGATAAGGTCATTTATTCAACATCGATGGCAGCAAAGATTGGATGCTGCAGACACTAGCAAGCTTCACGCCATTAAGCCTCTCCTAGGAGACTGGCCCTCCTCCTATTGTGCCAAAAGGAGAAATGAAGTTGTTTTGTGTTTCGTCTTGGACATACTCCCCTCACCAACTGTTATTTGCTCAAGCGAGAGCCTCAACCTGTCTGTGAGCACTGCCAGATCCGCCTGACAGTGAAACACATTCTGATTGAGTGTAAGCATCTCAAACCTGTAAGATCACAGCACTTCCGTACTGTTTCTTTATTTCAGCTTTTTGCGCAACCTTCTCTATATGATCCCTATATATGGGAAGTTACGCTGTTGTTGATAAGTGTGGTTGTCAGATCCGTTAGTTGGGTCGATAGTGATTCAAAATATTCTTGACTACCCATTTTGTAATATGGCTGAAGTACAAAAAAACTGACAAAACCAAGAAAATGATACCAACAAAAAGAATACTGACGGAAAATTCACCCGTGCAAGATCCTGGTCACGGCACCAAAAGATGAACACCCTTGTGACACTTCCAGGATGTTCAATATAAAACTATATCTTCGTTGGTCCTTTTATTCTGCTATAAAGCTTCACGTTGTGTATTATAAATCTAATATCAAGTATATTGGTATTATGCCTTCTAGCTTTAGGAGTCCTTTGGTTGCAGCAGAATCTAAACTCCCCGAAACTAGTTCCGTTTCGGAATATATACCCTGATCCGGGGTCACCCTCCTCTCCGTATCACATGCTCAATTTAAGACCTATTATTGGTCAGTATTTCCAAACGCGCAATAAGAGCACAAGCGACTGCATACGTGTTGGCTGTATCATATAATTTCAACTATTTTGTTTTGATTGAATATTTACCCCCAGTGGCCCGGGGTTAAGAATAGGTCCACCGCCCCCCATTGCGTGTCGTAAGAGGCGACCCGTGTCGGTTGAATGGACACCTGGTGGTTGAGGGTAACATACTTTCCAATACATCACTTTCGGCCAGGGGATTCCTAGACGGGTGGCCAGTGTGGCCCACACTAGTCAATCGGCTTGTCGTGTTGAGCCTATGAGTCGGTGGTCAGAACAGATTAAACTTTTTCTTGTAATAATTAATATCTTTTTTCTTTCAAATTATTTCACTGACTCAGAAGCAGCGGCTTGGGTCAATTGGGTTAAAAAATAAAAATAAAAGTTCGGAATTTATTTGCTCCACCCAGAACTTTTATTCTTTTTTTTGTCTAAGTATATCCCCCGATTACCCCTAGGGCACCGGCGCTGGAGTCCGCGTAAAGCCCGCGCGGATGTCGTGGTCCGTGGTGGTCGGGGGTCTCGGGAGATGAATTCTTCTTTTTTCTTCATGGCTACACAAAAAAAAAAACACAAACGAGCGTAAGCGCCGGTTAACCGAGGCTGAATTTACTGATTCGCTAATTCAGACGAATCATGGCCTCGGTTTCTTGTCATTGACAGCAGTGACCCTGAGAGGTCTTTATCATCCTTATCGCCATGTGCAATCGCAAAAGGATTGACAGGTCTTGCAAGTGAGCCCAAATCTACGAAAAAACTGCGTAACGGCTCCTTGTTGGTTGAATGTGCTCGCAGAATTCATTCTGAACTCTTGCTTAAATCGGTCACTTTGGCAAACATACCGTTAAAAGTTTCACCTCATTCCTCTCTGAACTCTTCCAAAGGGGTCATTCGACATCCAGACCTCAATGGATGTTCTGCTGAGGAAATGAAGGAGGAGTTACAGGATATTGGAGTCACGAACGTTGATAGAATATCCATCCGTCGTGACGGACAATTAATTCCTACCAACACCTTTATTCTTTTATTCAACCGACCTGATTTACCATCTGAAATCAAAGTAGGCTACCTTAATATCAAAGTATCGCCGTATATACCAAATCCTCTCAGATGTTACAACTGTCAACGCTTCGGGCATGGAACTCGAACTTGTAAGAGTTCGATTCGATGTGCGCGTTGCGGTCAGTCTGGGCATGACAACAAGGATTGCACCGAAGCTCCTTGTTGTTGCTTTTCCAAAGACTGTCCAAAGTGGCAAACTGAAAAAAAAATAATAAAATTAAAATTGAAAGCAAAATATCGTATCCCGAAGCGAGGAAGGTTGTAGAAGGTGCAACTCCATCTACTCCTTCCGGAAAGACTTTTGCTAATGTCGTTAAGGCTTCTACCAAATCGGTGGAATGCCAAACCGGCATCACTTGGCTGACACGGTTACCAGTAGCGTCTCCGGGCCTATTACCAACTATTCATAAGGCAACATCATCTACATCATCCGCTGCTCAGGCTTCTCAGACTCAGTAGTTTAAGTCTACCAGCTAAAGACGTTCAGCCAAAAGGGACTGGTAAGCAGTCCAGACAAAAGCATAGCAAAAGTCTTTCTAAAAATGACAAGTCCGGCAAAAAAAAATGGATCCTCCTCCAAAAAGGGAGGAAGAGATCTTTTGAAGTCTGCCATATCTGATAGTATAGATATGGAGGCTTCCGAGGTTGATGCGGAAGTTCTCAACCCCCCTTACCGCAAACCTCGTAGTCCAGTCAAACCACCCTGACAATGCATCAAAAAAATAATATAATACAATGGAATTGTCGAGGTTTAAGTCATAATCTTAATGAAGTTCAGCTATTAATGCAACAATACAATCCG